TTCATAATGTGAGGGACGCTGGACCCGGTTTCCAGCAGGTGCAGCTCCCCACCAATAGATGGAGCTTTTTTCTATAAAAAAAAAAAAAAAAAAAAAAGGATTCTGGAACAGGTGCTGCAGCAGTACTTCTTCCTTAGTCTGTGGTACTCACTGCGCATCCGGAGGTATCTTGTTCCAAGCTTTTCTGACTGCGTTCCAGAATGTGGATTTCAACTTTTTCCTTCTGACTGATTCCATATGGTCAGGTGAATAATGTTTATATTATATAATATGTGTCCCAGGGATAGGCATATGCAGTTATTCATAGCACAGGTCTACAGTAGCATGCCCAAGATAGTCTTGGTTGATGCCTCATCTTCTGACAGACTGACACTCATGGGTGATGCTCAGTCAGGGCCAATCAGGGCAGCGAAGAGTGGGGCCCCATGGCCCACGGCCCTACTTACCCCTATTCTTCAGTTCTCGCTGCTGATGTGGCCAGCCTTCTGAGTGGCAACGTGCTCCCCGGTATGTCTTCGACTCTTGTGTCGTCAGACTTTCTCCTCGCGGCCGGTCTGAATGCTGCAGACCAATGACACAGAAGGAAAACAATAGCAATCGAACATCCTTTCCACCCATGCATTTTTTCTTCTTCTTCTTTTTCTTTTCTCTTTTTTTTTTTGGACCATTTCTCGATTTATGCGTGTCGTCCTTCGGGACATCCGTTAAAATTGGAACGATACAGAGAAGATTAGCATGGAGTCATGGACCCATGCCTTTTTGGCCATGCTCACACTTGCACTTTCTGGACAGAATCCTGCGCAATTCCCATCAGATATATTCCAGTACCTCCACGTTTTTAGGCCATTAACGCGGTGGCTGAATCGGTGTGCCGCACAGGTCCATATGCATTTGCCTCAGAGCCTCCCCAGAGGGGGCCTAAGACCTAAGAGTTTAGGGGAACAACACCTACATGCCAAACGAAAATTGGTGAGCTGCGGATTACCCCCTCAGGTGATCACAAATGACCTTTTTCTTTTCAATTTTTCGAAGGAAAAAGGAGCCAAATTGTATCCACTGGGTGCGTGGTGGCAAACCTGCCTAGGCAACAAAGGCTCTTTACAGCGTTATGGATAGAGAGGTTGAGACGGTAACCCTAATGTCTATTTCTCCCTCCCAGCTTTTAGTTATCGAGATTCCTTTTTTCTAGTTTGATAAATCTCGGAATTTGGTTTGGTTGTCTTTTAATCGTTTATTTTCCGGAGACAATATTAGTACGCCTAGTTTAAATTTAGGGTTGTAGAGGTGTCGGGGTTTATGAACCAGGGAGGATGTCCGCCAGAGGGCTTCCCGCGCCGGGGTCAGCCCTACTGACGGTGCAGCGGGCCCACCCACTACCCAGTGATCCGTCAAGGAGAGAGCACACAAACCTCACTACCCACCCGGGAGTATCAGTACTTACTTGGTTTGAAACTTGGAATGGAATTGTACCTATGAACTTAGTTTGCCGTGGAAATAATTTTAGGGCTAAAACTGTAAAATTTTCGTGAATTGCCTTGTGCATTTTCAAGATTTGCAGATTCTAATTCGTAGTACTTTGCCAATTATAGTGTCTCGATCTGAGAAACATGCCGGCGTTCTCCTGCGCAGCAAGGATATTATATATTATAGGCTGAAGGAATGGAGAGTTTTGTCATGATTAGTTCAGCCACCTTTTTCTGTGAAAACCGCACCTCCAAACAAAACAATAACAACAACAACCACCACACCTTCCAAAAAAAAAAAAAAAAAAAAAAAACACCACACCTAGAGGGCCTTGGACAACAATAAAGCAGTCCACATGTATCTGGATTGCGTCTTCGCTCTCATAAATTTGATCCCGAATTGATCCCAATATTGGCAGCAGATACATTTAGAACTGGAGGCAGTGAGTGGCAATCACCGGCAGGAGGAGGGTGGGCGGGAGCATGGATACACCCCCCCCAAAAAAAAAAAATTCAAAAAACGATTAATAGCGCCAGTGCCAGTTCTCTGTGGCTATACTATCTACCAAAAAAGGCATTCGTCACAGCACCCGGACCTTGTCTCATACCAATCGCAGCCACAGTGTGCATCAAGTCACTCAATGGACATGCCACGTCCCAATTAGGCTATCCCAGAATCCGCAAAATTTGGCACAAGAGGTCCTACCAAGTGTGAGGACCTACTCCCGCATGGATCACAAAATGGCAAATGTTGTCATGTGTGCTACCCCTCGTTTGCCATTTTGCTGCGTTGTCCAGTCACACAGCGGTTGCAAATAGGAAAAGACAAGACCCAGCTGCCCAGCGTTCTGCCATTTGCAAAATTGTCCACTGGTGCGGTCACAGAACAAAAGTCATTGACGGGGTACTTGCAATTCTCTTCTGAGACTCAAAGACATGCGAAGAAATTTGTGCGGAGTCGAGGACATAATAAATAATAATAACAATCATCATCATAATAATAATAAAATAATAATAAAAAAAGAATTATGAGCACCTTCAGAGGAACTTGCAAATTGCCCGACCTGGCAGCCACTGACAATTGCCAGACCTATTGCGAATTTGATGGGCGGGTGGGCACAATGTGACTGCAAAACCGTCACACAAACTTAAAGTTTTGCCAAAACTAGGCCCGGAGTATGTCCTAAATTGTTTCACCGATAGCGTCCATTTGTTTTGCAGGACTCAAACTCATGAACAGATTATCAACAGGTTCAACAATCAGTCTCCGAGAATAAAAGGTAAAAAATCCTGTCCTGTTTTGTTTGCCGCGAACTTCACATAGCGTCGTACACTTACATCGTTGGAACTTCAAACAAGCATATAATATAATATTATTATGCCGTCAGTCCAAATAAAGGACGCTTGTTTCTGATCGCCTAAAAAGAAACTTAGGTGGATTTTTCAAAAAGAGGGAGGCAAAATCCAACATCAGATGGTATGTGCTGGCATGATGTTATGTTGCGGTTACTTTTCATGCATGAGCTGAGAGTTGCGCTGGAATGACAGATCACAGTGAGCCTGAGTGAGGGATGCGAAAGACACTACGAAGGCAGGAGCGAGGGAGACAACAGTCTGCTTATTGACAAAAGCTCAATGCACCATGTCTTCTCCAAACCAAACCAGTCACTTGCCCAAGGAGTCAACAGACTGCAGCCTTGTTGATGTCTTCTCCGCAAAAAGTCCAGCAGCTATAGCTGGACATCCGTCAGAGGACTAAGACTGCAAGTACCTGGAAACTACTGTGAGTAATACTATGTACTGAGCCCATCCGGACAAACCAAAGCTACATACACTTCCGTTCACTCTCTCCTCCTTCCATTGTTCTTCATCGGAAGTTCATCCTTCTTTTCTTCTCCTAACTCTCTTTCTTCCACAGGAGGTCGTGACCGCTTTTCTTGTGCCACAAAGGCCCACAATTGCTCCACAAAATTATCCTTTTCACTAACATTATCCCATATCCCTTTACCCATCAATCACATGCACCCACTTGCCGGGTGGACAACCAGAACGCTGGTGGAGTCTGTGTGTGTGTGTGTGGAGAGAGAGAGAGAGAGGCACGGACAGTGAGAATTCAAAGCTGCCAACACACACACACACACACACACACACACACAGACACACACACACACAGAGTCTCAGGGAGAGAGAGAGAGAGAGAGAGAGAGAGAGAGAGAGAGAGAGAGAGAGAGAGAGAGAGAGAGAGAGAGAGAGAGAGAG